ATGTTTAATCTATTTTATAATTTCATTCACATAGCAATTGCTTAACATATTTCAATAATAAATACAAATATTTAGTAAAAATATCCATTGGGTTTCTATAACATAATAGAAGTAGGTAATAAAACAGCAAACATTTACTTAAAAAAAAATTGTTATTAAAACTATAATTTTATTATAAATTGCTATTTCCTTCTATCGATCAAAAATGATTGAAAAAAAAAACAGCAAAAAAATTTAAAAAAAAATACACATATTTATGTTTACAAATTGTTTAACTTGTTTTTATACTTTCGATTAGCATGTGCAAAAAACAACACAATAACAACATACACGAGGTGATTATTTTTTTTTTTTTTTTGAAGCAAAAACAAAAATACACACCCTCCTCTAAAAAAAAAGAAAAAAACAAACAAACCTTTACACACATCTAAACAAACCTTTACTTAAGCATACAAATAAACATAAGGAAGACAATAAATTTATTGAGAGTATTAATACTCTCTTTTTAATTGTTTGTAAACTTTGCTCAATTTGTAAGTATGTATGTCTAGATGTGCGTAACAAGACGTCAAATTAATTAGGAAAACAAAACAAATAGAGCTAATACAACTAAAACAAAAACTATTCTTATCAAAATACTAGACACCAAACCATATGGTGGTTTAGAAAAAAATAGAAAGAAAAGTTTAGTTTTTCTTCTTTTTAATTAAAGCTGTTACTGTGTCATTAAAGTTTAATAATCCCAAAAAACAAGATTGTTTTTCTACTCAAAATTAATCAATTACATAATTATAAATGTACTCTACCTTAGTCATGGAAAAATTTAAATTTTGAAATATTACAAAATCATAACTACAAGGTATAAAAATACTAGCTCACAAGACCAGGTAATAGACTGCAATATGGACTAGACTAGACTATAGACTAGTCTATAGTCTAGTCTAGTCTATAGTCTAGTCTATAGTCTAGTCTATAGTCTAGTCTATAGTCTAGTCTATAGTCTAGTCTATAGTCTAGTCTATAGTCTAGTTTATAGTCTAGTCTATAGTATAGTCTATAGTCTAGTCTATAGTCTAGTCTATAGTCTAGTCTATAGTCTAGTCTATAGTATAGTCTATAGTCTAGTCTATAGTCTAGTCTATAGTCTAGTCTATAGTCTAGTCTATAGTCTAGTCTATAGTCTAGTCTATAGTCCTAGTCTATAGTCTAGTCTATTGGTCTAGTCTATAGTCTAGTCTATAGTCTAGTCTATAGTCTAGTCTATAGTCTAGTCTATAGTCTAGTCTATAGTCTAGTCTATAGTCTAGTCTATAGTCTAGTCTATAGTCTAGTCTATAGTCTAGTCTATAGTCTAGTCTATAGTCTAGTCTATAGTCTAGTCTATAGTCTAGTCTATAGTCTAGTCTATAGTCTAGTCTATAGTCTAGTCTATAGCTAGTCTATAGTCTAGTCTAGTAGTCTAGTCTATAGTCTAGTCTATAGTCTAGTCTATAGTCTAGTCTATAGTCTAGTCTATAGTCCTAGTCTATAGTCTAGTCTATAGTCTAGTCTATAGTCTAGTCTATAGTCTAGTCTATAGTCTAGTCTATAGTCTAGTCTATAGTCCAGTCTATAGTCCAGTCTATAGTCTAGTCTATAGTCTAGTCTATAGTCTGGTCTATAGTCTAGTCTATAGTCTAGTCTATAGTCTAGTCTATAGTCTAGTCTATAGTCTAGTCTATAGTCTAGTCTATAGTCTAGTCTATAGTCTAGTCTATAGTCTAGTCTATAGTCTAGTCTATAGTCTAGTCTATAGTCTAGTCTATAGTCTAGTCTATAGTCTAGTCTATAGTCTAGTCTATAGTCTAGTCTATAGTCTAGTCTATAGTCTAGTCTATAGTCTAGTCTATAGTCTAGTCTATAGTCTAGTCTATAGTCTAGTCTATAGTCTAGTCTATAGTCTAGTCTATAGTCTAGTCTATAGTCTAGTCTATAGTCTAGTCTATATAGTCTATAGTCTAGTCTATAGTCTAGTCTATAGTCTAGTCTATAGTCTAGTCTATAGTCTAGTCTATAGTCTAGTCTATAGTCTAGTCTATAGTCTATCTAGAGTCTAGTCGTATGTCTAGTCTATAGTCTAGTCTATAGTCTAATCTATAGTCTAGTCATAGGTCTAGTCTATAGTCTATTCCTATAGTGCTAGTCTATAGTCTAAGTCTAGTCTAAGTGGAATTAGAACTGGATTATAGACTTTACTCAGTTTTCCTCCCTGTTTTACAATAAATGTAAAGAGACAAAAATGTTTATTCTCTGTAACAACATCTTAGGTAACTTAAAAAAATGTACCAGTTTGTTATACAATAGGTTACACTAACGGTATTATTAATCACTAGAGTTTGACAGCATTAATCAAGTTTTCTTATCTTTATTAAAGCAGATAATTTTATCTAAATGTTAGTTAAATTGAAAATTTTATTAAAAGTTTGCTTTGCAATAATATTTATAATACCGGGAGCATCTTTCTTTAAAATAGATAATTAGTTAGACTTTGTGCTGTTAAATCTTTTGGGAAAAGCGTTTTTTTAAGAAAAATTTCCATAATTATTCTAATGGTTTATAGCCTAAACAGGTTTTTATTTTCTCTACTTAATTTGAAAATTATCAACCTTTTTAATGAAATTCATTTCATATAATGTATTTAGTTTGGTTAATAATGGGACGGACGTCTACATAAAATTGGTACCTGGCGGAGAATGGCATTTAAGAAATGTTTGTTTTAATTATCTACTTAAAAATAACTTAAAAAAAAAATTGCCCAAAAAGTCAACTTTAAGAATACCCTACTTATTTTAACGTTCGTGTGTCAAAATCAAAAATTTCCATCGAAAATTAAATGTATGGATGTTTAACATACATATACTATAGACTAGACTATAGACAATACTATAGGCTAGACTACAGACTAGACTATAGACTAGACTATCGACGAGACTATAGACTAGACTATAGACTAGACTATAGACTAGACTATAGACTAGACTATAGACTAAACTATAGACTAGACTGCAGACTAGACTATAGACTAAACTATCGACTAGACTGCAGACTAGACTATAGACTAGACTATAGACCAGACTAGACTATAGACTAGACTATAGACCAGACTAGACTATAGACTAGACTATAGTCTAGACTATAGACTAGACTATAGACTAGACTATAGACTAGACTATAGACCAGACTAGACTATAGACTAGACTATAGACTAGACTATAGACTAGACTATAGACTAGACTATAGACTAGACTATAGACTAGACTATAGACTAGACTATAGACTAGACTATAGACTAGACTATAGACTAGACTATAGACTAGACTATAGACTAGACTATAGACTAGACTATAGACTAGACTATAGACTAGACTATAGACTAGACTATAGACTAGACTATAGACTAGACTATAGACTAGACTATAGACTAGACTATAGACTAGACTATAGACTAGACTATAGACTAGACTATAGACTAGACTAGACTATAGACTAGACTATAGACTAGACGATAGACTAGACTAGACTATAGACTAGACTAGACTATAGACTAGACTAGACTAGACTATAGACTAGACTATAGACTAGACTATATACTAGACTATAGACTAGACTATAGACTAGACTATGGACTAGACTATAGACTAGACTGTTGACTAGACTATAGACTAGACTAGTGACTAGACTATAGACTAGACTATAGACTAGACTATAAACTAGACTATAGACTAGACTATAGACTAGATTATAGACTAGACTATAGACTAGACTATAGACTAGACTATAGACTAGACTATAGACTAGACTATAGACTAGACTAGACTAGACTATAGACTAGACTATAGACTAGACTATACTAGACTATAGACTAGACTATAGACTAGACTATAGACTAGACTATAGACTAGACTATAGACTAGACTATAGACTAGACTATAGACTAGACTATAGACTAGACTATAGACTAGACTATAGACTAGACTAACTATAGACTAGACTATAGACTAGACTATAGACTAGACTATAGACTAGACTATAGACTAGACTATAGACTAGACTATAGACTAGACTATAGACTAGACTAGACTTAGACTAGACATAGACTAGACTATAGACTAGACTATAGACTAGACTATAGACTAGACTATAGACTAGACTATAGACTAGACTATAGACTAGACTATAGACTAGACTATAGACTAGACTATAGACTAGACTATAGACTAGACTATAGACTAGACTATAGACTAGACTATAGACTAGACTATAGACTAGACTATAGACTAGACTATAGACTAGACTATAGACTAGACTATAGACTAGACTATAGACTAGACTATAGACTAGACTATAGACTAGACTATAGACTAGACTATAGACTAGACTATAGACTAGACTATAGACTAGACTATAGACTAGACTATAGACTAGACTATAGACTAGACTATAGACTAGACTATAGACTAGACTATAGACTAGACTATAGACTAGACTATAGACTAGACTATAGACTAGACTATAGACTAGACTATAGGCTAGACTATAGGCTAGACTATAGACTAGACTATAGACTAGACTATAGACTAGACTATAGACTAGACTATAGACTAGACTATAGACTAGACTATAGACTAGACTATAGACTAGACTATAGACTAGACTATAGACTAGACTATAGACTAGACTATAGACTAGACTATAGACTAGACTATAGACTAGACTATAGACTAGACTATAGACTAGACTATAGACTAGACTATAGACTAGACTATAGACTAGACTATAGACTAGACTATAGACTAGACTATAGACTAGACTATAGACTAGACCATATACTAGACTATAGACTAGACTATAAACTAGACTAGACTAGACCATATACTAGACTATAGACTAGACTATAGACTAGACTAGACTATACTATAGACAATACTATAGAATAGAATTAGTTTAATGAAAACACCAAATTTCTATAAAAAGTAAACAAAATCTTTTGTATTTACGGTTATTAATTAGAATTATTTACAAAATTCTATACTTTTCAATTAAAAGTTCAATTAATAAAAAAAGTTTTCAATTGGCAGGGAATTTAACAAAATGTTCATCATCTAATATCTTATAGTTATAGTTACGATATGTTTCCAATTCATAAATATATTTTCTGCCACAATCCTTCATAATATTCGCCACTACAGGTTTCATGTTGGTAATGCCGGTCATTGCGCAGAGTTCTCTGTAGTATTCATACTGAAAAAAGTTAATATAATAGATAAAAGAAATAAAAGATTGAAAACGTTGTCTTTTAGAAAAAAAAAACACCCCACCTCTTTTGCACCCATTTTATGAGCCTCACATTGCCTTATGCCTCTCTCTTTGCGTTCCTCTATTTCATGCGTTAATTCATCCAACATTTCCTGTTTCGAGGGAAGCTCCACTTCATTGCTAAAGAATTTGGTGACAAAACGTATCTGCATATCTAAACATAGTGTGGGTAAAACTGCAAAGGGTAAACCGATAATGGCCATTGTGGGATACTCGATATTGATACAATGTTTGTACAAGGGTTGGACAAATTTATTTTGTACATAAATGCCACAATCACAGCTTAGGAAGGGGAATGAGTATTGATAACCGGTACAATAGACTACACAATCAAAATCTTCGACGCTGTCATCCTTAAAGACTGCACCAGTTGGGGTAAAATATTTAACATCGGGTTTTTGTCTGACGGGACCCATGAAGTCGGTTGGTGGCGCTTCCGGTAAATGATGACTAAGAAATATTTGTTTTGCAGTTTTAGCAATATGTTGAGTAATATCCATGCCACTGGGTCCAGCACCAATAATCAAAACTTTTTTATCTGTTGGTAGGTTTTAGGGACGAAAGAAAAGAATAAATCATTGACTATTCTATAGTTCAGACTATAGACTATTTTTTAGTCTGGACTACAGACTATTCTATAGTCCAGACTATAGACTATTCTATAGTCCAGACTATAGACTATTCTATAGACCAGACTATAGACTTTTCTATAGTCCAGACTATAGACTATTCTATAGTCCAGACTATAGACTATTCTATAGTCCAGACTATAGACTATTCTATAGTCCAGACTATAGACTATTCTATAGTCCAGACTATAGACTATTCTATTGTCCAGACTATAGACTATTCTATAGTCCAGACTATAGACTATTCTATTTTCCAGACTATAGACTATTCTATTGTCCAGACTATAGACTATTCTATAGTCCAGACTATAGACTATTCTATAGTCCAGACTATAGACTATTCTACAGTCCAGACTATAGACTATTCTATAGTCCAGACTATAGACTATTCTATAGTCCAGACTATAGACTATTCTATAGTCCAGACTATAGACTATTCTATAGTCCAGACTATAGACTATTCTATAGTCCAGACTATAGACTATTCTATAGTCCAGACAATAGACTATTCTATAGTCCAGACTATAGACTTTTCTATAGTCCAGACTATAGACTTTTCTGTAGTCCAGACTATAGACTTTTCTATAGTCCAGACTATAGACTTTTCTATAGTCCAGACTATAGACTTTTCTATAATCCAGACTATAGACTTTTCTATAGTCCAGACTATAGACTTTTCTATAGTCCAGACTATAGACTTTTCTATAGTCCATACTATAGACTATTCTATAGTCCATACTATAGACTATAGTCCAGGCTATAGACTATTCTATAGTCCAGGCTATAGACTATTCTATAGTCCATACTATAGACTATTCTATAGTCCACGCTATAGACTATTCTATAGTCCAGACTATAGACTATTCTATAGTCCAGACTATATACTATTCTTCTTCTTTACACTCTGACTATAGAAAGGCTTTTTACTTTTAAAAATTTCCAAAAATTACCTTTAAACATTTGTGCTGAACGATAAAGATGACTGTGTAACTGCAGACCCTTAAAAATATCCATGCCAGGTATGTCGGGGTATTGAGGTTTTTTAAAATGACCATTACAAACAAAAATTCTATCAAAATGTTGTACACTTAAAGTATTTGTGTTGTGATTTAAAACATGGACCTAAATTTAAAAATTAAATTACAAAAAATCATTTAATTGTGTTATTAATTAAAAAGGAATAGTCTACTAGCCTCCCACTCCTTATTGGAACGTGGTTTAACGCGTATCACTTCATGTTGCAATTTAATATAATGTCTTAGTTTAAAATGATCAGCATAAAGATTTAAATATTCCAAAACATTGGCGGAAGTAACAAATGATAACTCAAACTTTTCGGGATAGGGAAAATCGGAATAACCCATAACCTCTTTGGGTATATTGGTTCTTTAATGGAAAAAGAAAATTAAATAAATTTATTATTAATAAAATGTTTGTTAAGTTTTACCTTAAACCCTCATACATGCTACTATGCACCTCCTCATCATGTTGTTTGGAAACATCAGTGTCTCTGTAAACCCAAGTGCCTCCCACTTGTTCCTCCCTTTCATAGCAAACCACTTCCATATGATGTTCTAAAGAATTTTTCACCGCCGACAAACCGGCTGTACCCGCTCCTATAACACATACACGTATTTTTTTATTCATTTTTTTTTTATTTAAAAATTTATAATTTCTTTGTAACCGTTTGATCCCAGCCGTTCATTCGCAAGTCTGAAAAGTTACTGCTCCATCATACAAAAGATGTTTATATTATATTCATGCAGTTCTAGTCATTAGTGGGCTTTACAACTACTACTTACTGCTTAACATTGTATGGGTTTGATATGATATTACAAATTATTATTTTTATTTATTTGTAGATTATTTGTACCCTACTCTACTTAGTAAATGGTTGTATCTTTAGTTTGTTATCATTGTTTAATAATGAAATCTGTTTTAAACTTTTCTTTAGACTCCTGACTACGAGTTAGTCTATAGTCTGGACTATATTTAGATAAGTCTATAGTCTGAACTATAGATTAGTCTATAGTCGTATATATATTCTATAATCTGGACTATAGATAAGTCTATAGTATGGACTATGGAATAGTCCTTAGTCTGAACTATATATTAGTCTATAATCATGATTAAAGATTAGTGTATAGACTGAATTGTATATAAGTTTATCTTCTGGACTATAGATTAGTCTACAGTCTGGACTATAGATTAGTCCATAGCCTAAACTATATATTAGTCTATAATCAGGATTAAAGATTAGTGTATAGACTGAATTGTATATAAGTTTATCTTCTGTACTATAGATTAGTCTATAGTCGACTATAGATTTGTCTATAGTCTGGACTATAGATTTGTCTATAGTCTGGACTATAGATTTGTCTACAGTCTGGACTATAGATATGTCTATAGTCTGGACAATAGATTTGTCTATAGTCTGGACTACAGATTTGTCTATAGTCTGGACTATAGACTAGTCTATAGTCTGGATTACTGAAAAGCCCACATTCTGGACTATTGATAAGTCTTTAGTCTGGATTATAGATTAGTTTATAATGTGGACTTCAGATTAGTTTCTAGTCTGGGCAATAGATCAGTCTATAGTCTGGACTATTAGATTAGTATATAAACTATATATATAAACTATATATAAACTATATATTAGTCTATATCAGATTAGTATATAGACTGAACTGTATATAAGTTTATCTTCTGTACTATAGATTAGTCTATAGTCTGGACTATAGATTTGTCTATAGTCTGGACTATAGATTTGTCTATAGTCTGTACCATATATTTGTCTATAGTCTGGACTATAGATTTGTCTGTAATCTGGACTATAGACTAGTCTATAGTCTGGACTACTGAAAAGCCTACATTCTTGACTATTGATTAGTCTTTAGTCTGGATTATAGATTAGTTTATAATGTGGACTTCAGATTAGTTTCTAGTCTGGGCAATAGATCAGTCTATAGTCTGGACTATTAGATTAGTATATAACCTGTACTCTAGATTAGGCTTTAGTCTGGACTATAGATTAGTTTATAGTGTGGATTTCAATTTATAGTCAGGGCTATAGATCGGTCTATAGTTTGGAATAAAAAAATTAGTATATTGTCTGATCTATAGTCTAGATTAGTCCATATTCTGGACTATATATAGATTAGTCTATTTTCTGGGATATTGCATAGTCTATAATCTGGATTATAGATTAGCCTAAAGTCTTTACTGTATGTTAGTCTATAGTCTGGACTAAAGATTAGTCTATAACCTGGTCTATATATAAGCCTATACTATGGATTAATCTATATTCTGGACTATAGATTAATCTATCTTCTGGACTATAGATAATATTATAGTCTGGACTATATATAAGACTGGACTATAGATTAGTCTATAGTCTGGACAATAGATTAATCTCTAGTCTAAACTATAGAGTAGTCTATAATCTGGATTTCTAGAAGAATGTCTTCATATAAAATGTGTCTACTGCCAGTAGCTCATTGTTGAAAAAATAATCTCAAATGATTCAGCACATTTTTTTTGTTAAAATGTTATATCTTTTCATTTCATATTTCATTCACATAGCAATTGCTTAATTAATAATTGTAAATAATCTCTCATATTATATGTGTCGCTTTTGACACTGGACTACGACATTTTGGTTTTCTCATTGTCGTTATTGACTGTGTATACATGTTGTGATGAGAAGAATGTTATTTTGTCGAGTGACTGCTTTCGACTCTATTCAATAGAAAATACTCTTCTTTTGACTCTGATCTATAGAAAGGTGCTAACTTTAGAGTCTTGTCCAGAGAAAATACTCTTTTTTCTACTCTGATCAATAGAAAGGTTTAACTGTATATATAGTCTTGTCGATAGAAAAGTGTCTTCTTCAGAATTTGGTTTATAGAAGTGCTTTCTCTTTCCTTTTGTTTCTAGTCCTTGGACGTTTCTTCTCAATAGACTTTTGCCTAAAAATACTGAATTCTTGAGAGTCTAAAGACTACATTTTAGTCTGTTAGAGTCTTTTTTATAGAAAAGGGTCTTTCGATTGTGGTCTGCAGACTCTGATCTATAAAATAGCGGCTTGTTTTGAAATTGATCTACAGAAGTTTCTTTTTCAATGGCTGATCTGTAACTGAAACTGATCTGTAGAAGTTTATTTTTCATGCCCTTATCTATTAAAACATCTTTAGAGTTTGAACTATCGAGAATCTCTTCTTTTGATCTATTGAAAAATTGTGTTTCTTCTTAACACTGTAGTGTATAAAACTTTTTTTCCTTCAGATTTTCGGACAAACAGTGTCAGCTGTTTGTTTTAAGTTTGATTTGTATTTAACCTTGATTATTTGCACAACTAATAAGTATTAAGGCAAATGTATGTACTTCATACATATTTAATGCAAAACAAGAACGTGATTTGTTTAAAAAATTAATTTAAAACTATAGTTTTTGTAAACATAAATAAAATGTTTGTTGGGATTGAGATAATAAAAAGCCTTAAAGTATACTAAGGTTTTTAAACAAAAGTTGAGATATTAAAGATGCCACATTTTTTCTTTTATACCTGTTTTAACTATGGACTATACAATAGACCATTGTCTGGGCTATAGACAACACTAGAATGTAGTCTAGACTATAGTCAGGACAACTGATCTATTTATATAGTCCGTATCATAGATTAAACTATAGTCTGAATTATAGATCAGTCTATATTCTGGACTACAGATAAATCTATGTTCTGGATCATAGAGTAAACTATAGTCTGGTTTATAAATCAAACTATAGACTGGACTATAGATCGGTCTATAGTATATACTGTATATTAGCCTATTCTCTAGACTATATGGACTATAGACTAGATTGTAATCTGGACCATAGACTATACTATAGATCAGTCTAAAGTCTGTTTGTAGTCTTGACTATAGATCAGTTGATAGTTTGGGCTGTAAAACAGTAGATCACTTTGTAGTCTAAAAGCCTTTACTAATAACCATAAGAATTTATCATTTAAAGATCCCCGCATTTTTTTCGAATCTTTGGCACTAGGCAACTCTGTTTTAGTTTATTAACATACAACGCTTTCAAAGCTTGCGTAATATAACAACAAATTCAATTGATAAGAATAGATTTAATATAAAATAACTATGAACAAACAACAATAGCAAAAACATTGAAATAGTCTGTCGGTCGATCGTATAATTGTTTTTGTTTTCTTTTTAAGATTTTGAAAAGCTTTTTTTTTTATTCTTAAAGTGATAAAAAATATAGTATTCACACTTTTAGTAATGATTTTTTGCATAGAAAAATATGAAAAAAAATAAAACTTATACTTGTTTTTCATTAAACTTAAACTTTAGCTAATTCATAATTAAATGCACTATTGGTTCCAATCACACTCCCCGCGCCTACAAAAAACACAAGGAGTTAATTTTACGATCGACCACAAGTTTGTAACTTGTTGGAGGGTTTAATGTTGTTTTTTTTTGTACAATTTACAATTTGCCAGTTAATTCGGGAACTGCCTTGAATAGATCAGCTACCAAACCAATATCGGCTACTTGGAAGATGGGAGCCTCTGGGTCTTTGTTGATGGCCACAATAGTCTTAGAATCTTTCATGCCAGCCAAATGCTGAATGGCACCAGAAATACCAACAGCAACGTATAGATCGGGGGCAACGATTTTGCCAGTTTGACCAATTTGCAAGTCATTGGGCACATAGCCGGCATCGACAGCAGCACGTGAGGCACCTACAGCAGCGCCGAATTTATCAGCCAAATCGTAGAGCAATTTGAAGTTGTCGCCCGATTTCAAGCCACGACCACCAGAGATGATTACCTTGGCACTGGTCAATTCAGGACGATCAGACTTGGTCAATTCTTGGCTAACGAATTCAGTCAAAGATTGGGCATAATCACCGGCAGGAGCTTGTTCAATAGCACCACTACCGCCCGAGGCAGCAGCGGGAGCAAAGTTGGTGGCACGAACGGTAATAACCTTAACAGGATCCTTGGAACGCAAAGTCATAATGGCATTACCAGCATAAATGGTGCGAACAAAGGTATCTTCACTCTTAACATCGATGATTTCAGAGATGGGAGAAACATCCAATTTAGCAGCTACGCGAGGCAAAACATTTTTGCCAAAAGCAGTGGCGCCAGCCAAAATGTGAGTGAACTTGAATTGATTTTGGGCAGCCACCACCAAAGGAGTCAAGGATTCGGCAGTAAAACCCTTGAAGGCTTCATTTTCGGCTACCAAAACTTTAGCAACACCTTCTACTTTGGCTACAGCTTCCGAGGCCTATAAAAAACAAACACACACACACAAACAAACGCATTTCACATTAGGTGTTATGCAAACTTTTAGCTTTTCTGTCTTTTTTATCAACTTACGGGACCACACTTAGTGCCTGCTACCAAAACTGTGACGTCACCACCGATCTTCTTGGCGGCAGCAATAGTATTCAAAGTGGCAGGATTCAATACCTCATTATTATGCTCGGCCACTACCAAGGTGCTCTTGCAACGGTGTAACTATTAAATTGGAAACATAAATTTATCACCACTTAATTAGTAAAACCTGCACATGCTACTCTTAGGAAAAATTAAAAACTTACGATACTGGTACGCAATAAACCACGAGCTGTATTGCTGCTGAACATATTGTTGTTGTTTACACTTCAATAACTTTTCAAACTTAATAAATTACAAGAATAAATTGGCACAACTAAGCACTGTTTTTCAACATAAAAAAGTAAGAAAATAATAGATTAATTTAATAAAATTTTACAAAGTATTTGATTAAATTTATTAGAAAAATCTACCTCTCCGCTCAATTAACCCAACTGACTGAACAAAAAAAGAGATCACTGCAAAAGTACTAAAGTCCACTGTTGCGTTGCCAACTGTTGTGGCAACTTGCCGTTAAAAACACAGCTGTTTTAACAAAAAGATTAGAATTGCAACTGCAGGCGTTAAGCGACAGCCACAGAAACCAGGTTTAAGTTAAACATAAATAAATACTACTAACTAACTAACTACTACTAACTAACTACTAACTAACTAACTAACTAACCTAACTACAACTAACTAACTAACATAACTAACTAACTAACTAACTAACTACTAACTAACTAACTTAACTAACTACTACTAACTACTAACTAACTAACTAACTAACTAACTAACTAACATAACTACTAACTAACTAACTAACTAACTAACTACTAACTACTAACTAACTAACTAACTACTAAACTAACTAACTAACTAACTAACTAACTAACTAACTAACTACTAACTAACTAACTAACTAACTACTAACTAAACTAACTAACTAACTAACTAACTAACTAACTAACTAACTAACTAACTAACTAACTAACTACAACTAACTAACTAACCTAACTAACTAACTAACTACTAACTAACTAACTAACTAACTAACTAACTAACTAACTAACTAACTACTAACTAACTACTAACTAACTAACTAACTAACTAACTAACTTACTAACTAACTAACTAACTACTAACTAACTAACTAACTAACTACCTAACTAACTAACTAACTAACTACCTAACTAACTAACTAACTAACTACTAAACTAACTACTAACTAACTAACCCTAACTAACTAACTAACTAACTAACTAACTAACTAACTAACTAACTAACTAACTAACTACTAACTAACTACTAACTAACTAACTAACTAACTAACTAACTAACTAACTAACTAACTAACTAACTAACTAACTAACTAACTAACTAACTAACTAACTAACTAACTAACTAACTAACTAACTAACTAACTAACTAACTAACTAACTACTAACTAACTAACTAACTACTAACTAACTAACTAACTAACTAACTAACTAACTAACTAACTAACTAACTAACTAACTAACTAACTAACTAACTAACTAACTAACTAACTAACTAACTAACTAACTAACTAACTAACTAACTGAACTAACTAACTAACTACTAACTAACTAACTAACTAACTAACTAACTAACTAACTACTAACTAACTACTAACTAACTAACTAACTAACTAACTACTAACTAACTAACTAACTAACTAACTAACTAACTAACTAACTAACTAACTAACTAACTAACTAACTAACTAACTAACTAACTAACTAACTAACTAACTAACTAACTACTAACTAACTAACTAACTAACTAACTACCTAACTAACTAACTAACTAACTAACTAACTAACTAACTAACGAACTAACTAACTAACAGACTAACTAACTACTAACTAACTACAACTAACTAACTAACTAACTAACACTAACTAACTAACTAACTAACTAACTAACGACTAACTAACTAACTAACTAACTAACTAACTAACTACTAACTAACTAACTAACTAACTACTAACTAACTAACTAACTAACTAACTAACTAACTAACTAACTAACTAACTAACTAACTACTAACTAACTACTAACTAACTAACTACTAACTAACTAACTAACTAACTAACTAACTAACTAACTAACTACTAACTAACTACTAACTACTACCTAACTAACTAACTAACTAACTAACTAATCTAACTAACTAACTAACTAACTAACTAACTAACTAACTAACTAACTAACTAACTAACTAAACTAAAACTACTAGACTAACTAATAACTAACTAACTAACCTAACTACAACTAACTAACTAAGCTACTACTACTAACTAACTAACTAACTAAAAACGAACTAACTACTAACTAACTAACGAACCAAAGGAATATTAATAAAGTAGCATCACTTGACAGCTGACTATTTTTTTTTAAAACTAGATAAATGAAGCAAATTGTCAAAGTTTGTTTTGAAAATTGTTAACATTGTTTAACGGTTCGCCATTTGTAAATTGTGTTGGCTATTGTTAAAATTTGTGAAAAGTTGACAAAAGTGAATTAAAAGTGGTTTTAAATTAGTTTAAAAGTGTAAGAAATTGTACTAATACGATAATAATATAATTAAATTGTTAATATTTTAACTTAAAAGTAATCTTTTTTAGGTTAAAAATGTTTTGTTCACAATTGTTGTTCAAGGAAATTTTAAGTCTTGACACAATCTTAAATTATTCCAAAAACAAAAACATGTGGTTGTTGTAGATGTTGTTGTACAACAAGAGATGTCGCTACTTTATTAATATACTTTGTAACTAACTAACTAACTAAACTAACTAACTACTACTAACTAACTAACTAACTAACTAACTAACTAACTAACTAACTAACTAACTAACACGACTACTACTAACTAACTAACTAACTAACTAACTAACTAAACCTAACTAACTACTAACTAACTAACTAACTAACTAACTAACTAACTAACTAACTAACTACTAACTAACTAACTAACTAACTAACTACTCACGAACTAACTAACTAACTAACTAACTACACTAACTAACTAACTAACTAACTAACTAACTACTAACTAACTAACTACTAACTAACACTAACTAACTAACTACACTAACTAACTAACTAACTAACTAACTAACTAACTACTAACTACTAACTACTAACTAACTACTAACTAACTAACTAACCTAACTAACGAACTAACTAACTACTAACTAACTAACTAACTAACTACTAACTAACTAACTAACTAACTAACTACTAACTAACTAACTAACTAACTAACTAACTAACTAACTAACTAACTAACTAACTAACTAACTACTAACTAACTAACTAACTAACTAACTAACTAACTAACTAACTAACTAACTACTAACTAACTAACTACTACTAACTAACTACTAACAACTAACTAACTAACTAACTAACTAACTACTAACTAACTAACTAACTACTAACTACAACTAACTAACTAACTAACTAACTAACTAACTAACTAACTACTAACTAACTAACTAACTAACTAACTACTAACTAACTAACTACTAACTAACTACTACTAACTAACTAACTAACTAACTAACTAACTAACTAACTAACTAACTAACTACAACTAAAACTAACTACTAACTACTAACTAACTAACTACTAACTAACTAACTAACTAACTAACTAACTAACTAACTACTAACTAACTAACTAACTAACTAACTACTAACTAACTAACTAACTAACTACTAACTAACTAACTAACTAACTAACTAACTACTACTAACTAACTAACTACTAACTACTACTAACTAACTAACTAACTACTAACTAACTAACTAACTAACTAACTACTAACTAACTAACTAACTAACTAACTAACTAACTAACTACTAACTAACTAACTAACTACTAACTAACTAACTAACTAACTAACTAACTAACTACTAACTAACTAACTAACTAACTAACTAACTAACTAACTACTACTAACTAACTAACTAACTAACTAACTAACTAACTAACTAACTAACTAACTAACTACTAACTAACTAACTAACTACCTAACTAACTAACTAACTAACTAACTACTACTAACTAACTAACTAACTAACTAACTAACTAACTAACTACTAACTAACTACTAACTAACTAACTAACTAACTCTAACTAACTAACTAACTAACTACTAACTAACTAACTAACTAACTAACTAACTAACTAACTAACTAACTAACTAACTACTAACTAACTAACTAACTAACTAACTAACTAACTAACTAACTAACTAACTAACTAACTAACTAACTAACTACTAACTAACTAACTAACTAACTAACTAACTAACTAACTAACTAACTAACTAACTAACTACTAACTACAACTAACTAACTAACGAACTAAAATAACTAACTAACTAACTAACTAACTAACTAACTAACTAACTAACAACTAACTAACTACTAACTAACTAACTAACTAACTAACTACCTAAACCTAACTAACTAACTAACTAACTAACTAACTACTAACTACCTAACTAACTAACTAACTAACTAACTAACTACCTAACTAACTAACTAAACTAACTAACTACCCAGTAAAAATTGGAGCTTACATGCAAGCAGGTTTGTAAGGGAACGAAGCTATTTTCTCCCTTACAAACCTGCTTCGATAAGGCATGATTTTTATATAGCGAATTCCCACTTGGAAGCATTCCCACTAGTAAGCTTAAATATTATTTAAATACTTCACTTACAATCTGCTTCTCTGTAAGGGATAGTAGTAAGCTTTTAATTTTTTTCAGCTTACATTATAAAATTACTCCTATCATTGGTATTCCCTTATTTCCTGCTTCTCAGTAAGGCTTAATAGTAAGCGAATACAGATGCAGTTACTTCCCTTTTTAGCTTCCTAAAGTCTAAAAATTTTTTACTGGGTAACTAACTAACTAACTAATTAACTAACTAACTAACTAACTGACTAAACAAGTTACTTTTAAAGGGCTAATATGTTATGTTTAGTGTAGGTAGTTAAAGGGTATCTTAAGAAGTGCAAAACACCCCAGTATTTTAAAATATTAATAAAAATTTAAGCTCTTAATTGAAACCCCATGATCGTTAATAAGGGGAAATAACTATTAAAGGTAATTTTTTATTTTAATAGAAACAAAATTTCCTTAAGTGTAAGGTAATTATTATTAAATATGTTTTTTGATAATTTAAAGAAAAGGATAGTTTTATAAGCCCCCATATATGTATGTATGTTTAAATAGAAATATATATAGAAACTGATAAAAAAAATCAAGTAAATACAACAAATAACATTATAACAAATTGATAAAGATAAGCTACCAATAGCTACTACCTACAAATAATGTTTTTGCCAAAGTTGACCAAAATAAAATTTGAGCAATATTTAGTAATTCGGCAGTTGGCAATTGTTAAAGACTATATACAAAAAATCGGTTAAAACATTTTTAACGGTTATCTATAAAAAGAGAAAATATAAAAACAAAGAATTTGACAAAAAAGAGAGAGTGAAATTAGAAAATAATAATAAAAAAAATAAACAAATCTGTAACAATTAATAGAAATTTAATAATATATAATTCTAGTGGAATATTTAATAAGATATAGAAAAAGAGCAAAGTTAAATATTAATGTTTTTAAAACATAAATCAAAATATGTTTGTAATATTTAAAATAAAAACTATTATAAATCTATTATTAATATGGTGCTGGTGTCTGAGTTGTAAGGGCATAAACTCCAGCGCGATAAGCCCACAATTTAAAGATAATAACAACAATTTTTATAAAGATAACTGGGCCAATAATAACTTTAATCTTCATAATAATGCGAAATTAGCGACACAAAGCCATTTGGAGGAGACTATAGTAACAGCTCAAGATATTGAATATACCACTCCCTATGCTACACCTGGGGTAACCTGGGATACGGAGGAGAAATTACTGGAAAATTCTTTGGTAAAATTAAAAACTTCCAATGAAGAGAATAGCTGTTTATTGGATTCTTTAAAAATGGCTCTATTATGGTGGTCTTACGGCAATGGCACTTTGAGAGAAACAAATTTGAGGGTCTTGACCAAGCAGCAACAATTGGATTTATCTTATCGTAATATTAGCAAAGACGAAGAGTTAATGGAGTTAATGCTGGCCTCTAACAAAGACAAAGAAAGTTTAAATGTGGTGGCAGCCTCTTTAGCTTTTAATAATTTAACCAATGTGCCCTATAACACCTTGGAACTAATGTCTAATACCTTAAAGTATCTTAGTTTAAAGGGTAATCCCTTTCTGGATATAACCTCGGAAATAGAAGATCGTAATTTACACTGTTTACTGCTAAATGAGGAAGATGAATTAAATTTACCAGAAAACCGTAAATTATTTACCAAATCGCAGGAGGGTATAGCCTGGGCCACTTTTCCCTATATGCCTCAACTATTGGAATTGGATATCAGTAATTGTGATATAGAATTTATCAGTAAAATGGCCTTTCAAAATCTAACAAATCTCAAAAATCTTTATATATCTTATAATAAAATGTTAACCCTACAATCGGATACGTTCTATTACACCCCCAATTTGCAAGTATTGGATCTATCGTTTACCAATGTTTATGACTCTTTCATGAATCAATTGGTGGCTTCTCCCACTCTAGAATCGGTGATGAAACTGATTTATGGTGTTAATATACAACAATATACTTTTAAGTATTTGCCCAACTTAGTATATCTGGATCTATCTCACACCAAATTGACTCGAGGCAGTGCCATAGCATTTACTCATTTGGGTCCTAATCTTAAATACTTAAGTTTGTGTTATACCTCTTTTCCCGTGTTTGGCAATGGCATATTTAAAAATTCTTCCCTTATAGGCCTGGATTTATCGGGTAATACCCATGCTGCCTTTAGCATTACGGAAGATGTATTTGAGGATTTATCTAAAACTTTATCGTATTTATATTTTGAAAAGGCCAATCTAAAAGATCTTTCCTGGTTAAAGCATTTACATAACTTACGTTTCTTGGCCTTGGCGGGTAATAATATCAACACCCTGACATTTGAACACTTTCAAAATCTCCAGCAGTTACAGGTTTTGGATTTAACCTCTAATCAAGTGGGCAATTGGTATAACCAGGTTTTTGTTAATAATACCAATCTGCGTGTTTTAAGCCTAAAAGATAATAATATAAATATCATCACCTCGGAAATGTTAAAAGATTTCAGCAACTTAATTTACTTAAGTCTGGGCGATAATAACTTTATCTGTGACTGCCTTTTAAGAGATCTAGTAGATATAGCGGCCTCAAATAATAAACAAGCCAAATGTCAGGGGAATTTTTGGCAGGATCTTCACAACACCCTTAATATTACCAGCAACGATTTACAGTATATTTTAGAACATTCTAAACTATTTCTCAACACCAGTCTTCGGAATCTGGATGTTCATTCGGTGGTATGGTCGCAAAGTTATGAAAAACTTAGACAATCTGCAAGAAAATTTAGCACGACTCATAAATTTAAAAGCAAACCTAAAATGCGTTTTATTCTCGATGCCCTTAGAACTTTTAATGCCTCCAATATTTGCCATCATTATCACAATACCACGGCCGACTATGATGCACGCCTAAATGGCTCTTTAGTTAAAGTACAACTTTTAGACTATGAGGAGGAGCACTATTGGTGCTACAATGAAACCGAGAAACAAACTTTGATTAGACTTAATTGTCAGAGAACTTCTTTGGTGGAGGATATAGTGGAAGAATTGGATTCCTTAACCACCTATGTTATGGCCATTGTAGGCAGTTTAATCGCCATAACCGTCATATGCTTGCTGGTGTATTGGAAACGTTGGCATATCTACTACTACTATTCCTCGCTTAAATCGGCCCGCTCTACTTTCATCCGTCTCCCAGGAAAATATCAACAAATTTCAAAATTTATGTGATCAACAGCCTCATATGATTTATGACATCTTCATTTCTTATTGTCAAAGTGATCGCGATTGGATTGTCCAGGAACTTATGCCTAATGTCGAAGACACTGGTGATATTTCTATTTGCCTACACGAACGTGACTTTCAAATTGGTGTTACCATACTTGATAATATAGTCTCCTGCATGGAACGTTCCAAAGCTCTAATGCTTATTATCTCTTCCAACTTTTTACTCAGTCACTGGTGTCAATTTGAAATGCAATTAGCTCAACATCGTATATTTGATCTGAATAAAGATCATTTGATATTAGTTTTTCTAGAGGAAATACCACGCAGTAAAAGACCTAAAAATCTGCAATATTTAATGGATGTTAAGACCTATATTAAATGGCCAGGAGGTAAAGGTAAACGTCACATACAACCGGAGGAGAGGAAATTATTTTGGAAACGTTTTAAAACGCACTTTAAGGAATATTGGTTTGAATGCTACAGAATCTAGAGCGTAAATGGAAGTAATTATTATAAAAAGTAAATAATTTAAGTAATTGTACCTGATTGATGTAAATAATAGAAAAAAAAAAACACTGTCTAAATTTAATTGTATTTGTAAATAGTTTGTAATTATTAATTTTAATGAAAAAATAAAAGATGCCATATTATGTTTAAATGTAAAAATTTGAAGAGTTTGGAAATTCTTGTAGATAGATAGATAGATAGATAGATAGATAGATAGATAGATAGATAGATAGATAGATAGATAGATAGATAGATAGATAGATAGATAGATAGATAGATAGATAGATAGATAGATAGATAGATAGATAGATAGATAGATAGATAGATAGATAGATAGATAGATAGATAGATAGATAGATAGATAGATAGATAGATAGATAGATAGATAGATAGATAGATAGATAGATAGATAGATAGATAGATAGATAGATAGATAGATAGATAGATAGATAGATAGATAGATAGATAGATAGATAGATAGATAGATAGATAGATAGATAGATAGATAGATAGATAGATAGATAGATAGATAGATAGATAGATAGATAGATAGATAGATAGATAGATAGATAGATAGATAGATAGATAGATAGATAGATAGATAGATAGATAGATAGATAGATAGATAGATAGATAGATAGATAGATAGATAGATAGATAGATAGATAGATAGATAGATGGATAGATAGATAGATAGATAGATAGATGGATGGATGGATGGATGGATAGATAGATAGATAGATAGATAGATAGATAGATAGATAGATAGATAGATAGATAGATAGATAGATAGATAGATATAGATAGATAGATATATAGATAGATAGATAGATAGATAGATAGATAGATAGATAGATAGATAGATAGATAGATAGATAGATAGATAGATAGATAGATAGATAGATAGATAGATAGATAGATAGATAGATAGATAGATAGATAGAAGATAGATAGATAGATAGATAGATAGATAGATAGATAGATAGATAGATAGATAGATAGATAGATAGATAGATAGATAGATAGATAGATAGATAGATAGATAGATAGATAGATAGATAGATAGATAGATAGATAGATAGATAGATAGATAGATAGATAGATAGATAGATAGATAGATAGATAGATAGATAGATAGATAGATAGATAGATAGATAGATAGATAGATAGATAGATAGATAGATAGATAGATAGATAGATAGATAGATAGATAGATAGATAGATAGATAGATAGATAGATAGATAGATAGATAGATAGATAGATAGATAGATAGATAGATAGATAGATAGATAGATAGATAGATAGATAGATAGATAGATAGATAGATAGATAGATAGATAGATAGATAGATAGATAGATAGATAGATAGATAGATAGATAGATAGATAGATAGATAGATAGATAGATAGATAGATAGATAGATAGATAGATAGATAGATAGATAGATAGATAGATAGATAGATAGATAGATAGATAGATAGATAGATAGATAGATAGATAGATAGATAGATATATATACGTGAAATTCCAGACTTGGAAGACAACTTCAAAGCTGGCATTGTATGTCAAAATTGGTGCACACTGAAGAACCATAGTTACTTAGTTAGTTTATTCGTTCGTTAGGTCACAGGGTACTTTGTGGTTAGGTCTCTATCGGGCTTGTCTCCTTTACCAGTGTCTTATGTAGGAATCGAACCCATAACCTCCGGTCTAACGACGAGAACATTAACATACCGGAGGCCACAACATGTATATGAAAGTAAATGGCGGACATTCATTTACCCACCTCAATAACATTATTCATTAATATTTGTAAATTTTCTTAAAAACGCCAAAGTTACATCTAAATTAGCTAAGTTGCTATCACTGTTTAGGTATTAGCGTTGACTTACCATACATATACTTCCAGCAGTAAGTTGGCAACGCTGAACAAAGTATAACGTTATTTTTAGTAATATTTTAAAAGGCGGGAGTACACCCGCACTTATTGATTATAAAAAAGTAATTTTTTGGAAAATTATTAATGTAAGAGTTTTAAAATAGGAAAAATTAAGTGAGTTAAATAATTTTAATAAAATATTCTTGGAAAAACATATTCTAAAAGGATAAATGTGTACTTTAGCACAAGTTTTATAAAACCGAAAGCAAAATTAATAACAAAAATTTGCATAGATTTGTTTAATAGTAGTGGATACATAGGTAATATAATTTTATTAAATAAAATTAAATAATTAATTAAAATAATTAATTTCGATTACATTTCGAAATTTTTGCTAATTTTTGCATTTGATAATGGAAAATACCTGCGTGAAAAAAAATTTTGAGGTTAAAAATGATTATTTTCTTTTTTAAAGCAAATTTTGAGAGATAATTTGAACTTACCTGATGACGATGGAAAAAAACATTCAAATTCTTACAGAAAAATAATTGTAAACCTTCATTTTCTTTTTAATCATTTAATTTTCTTTATTTTCTACCAAAAAAGCTTTTCAATCTGCTGCTAGCGTTTATTGTTATATATTTTACGTTAATATATATTTAAAGCTTAATAAACATATACTAGGTTAATATAAATATATTATAAAATATAAATAAAATGTCCTTTCTTTAACATAACTAGTCTTTAATCCAAAATCTCCTGTTTATTCTCCTCCACCTCAGGGGTAATAGTACAGACACGTTTACGAAGTCTTTCACATTTGGGACAGGGTTGTTTTTCATTTAAACAGTCGGCATGGAATACCGCACCGCAAGGTGAACACTATTGATAAATAAAATTAATGAAAATATTAACTTTTAGCTAAAGCTAAACTCACCCTAAAAGTAGTTTCTATATGGAAAGGATACAATATGCGTGAACTATTGCATATTTCACAGATAAATCCCTTATAACTGCATAGAGCACATTTTAAAATATGAGCTTCGCCCAGTTTAAAAGCCTTGTGTAATTGCTGATACAATGTACCTCTCTGGATCATGGCTAAATCACTTATGGAATACTGATGTATATGCTCGTATAAATACTCTTTGCCAAAAAATTGACGCTGCAATTCTTCAAAACTTTTGGGGCTACAAGTGCAGAGATAGGCTCGTATAAAGTTGAGACGTATGCGCAAGGCTTGCAGTTCTGCCATAGCCTCAGAGGCATTATAAATATCGGGGTTTAAGATCTAGAATTATAAACTTTTTAACGACTCTAGTGTTATTGTTAAGTTTCTATACAAACCTGCAAATCTATAAAGGGCTGGCTGCGAAATTCCGCCAAAAATGAGGCGGCCTTTTTGGAAACATTATATTTACGAAAATCCCAGTTGTATATAATCTTGGCTGGTATTAATAACGGCTCTATATCCATGCAATTATCACAATAATAATTGCCACTAAAGGCGCATACTCTACAATGTTAAATTTTGTTTTTAATCAAAAATGTCTTATTTTTCCAAATAAAACTCACCTAAAATTGGAATAACCTATACCCAAAGGATGTTGACAGGATTTACATAGAAAACCCTGGGCATCCAAGCCCGGCTCACGGGCTAATTTACATAATTGTTCCACCATTTCTTGTAATTCTTCTATATCAAACTTTTCTATGGCACTGCCGGAAACTAATTCAAAATCAGATTTACTGGCATTGGATTCGGTATCTAAATTATCTTCTCCTTCTTGTTTGTCCGCCCCCTCCTCATTATGTAAAGTCGTTTGTGACTGGGATAAAGTAGTGGTGTTTTGTAGTAAAAACTTTTCCCACACTTCCGTCCAATCGATTTCACGCTGACGTTCATGTTTACGCAGTAAAGTATTATAGCTACATCTATCACCCATTGGAGAACGCAAAGAACTGGCTGAGCTGGTTAAACTCAAAGATCTTTGAAAGGGATTAACACGTTCCCTTTCATCTAAACTGCTTCTCTCTGCACTGCTGACATCCGAACACCAGGACTTTTGCATAAGATTACTTAAAGAATTACCACCACTTACAACATTTTCCATATTATCCGTATCCTTTATTTCTTCTTCCTTAGCCTTGACGCCTTCTTCTTCATTGTTTTCCGCCATTTTATCTTTAACAATTGTTCCGGCTTCCAATGTTTCATCTTCTTCCATTTCATCGACTTTTTGTAAAAATAAATCTATATTTATGCGTGTATTCAAATCATCCACCGGAAAATTATCTGTCCTACGAAAAGGACTGTTAGCTATGGACTCGGAAAACAATTCATTAGTGCGCACTGGCTGAGGCAAAGGTATGGCTCTTGTTTCCTCAGCCAAAGAACCCGCTATATCTAAACCACTTGCAATGGGACAAGATTTTAAAGTGGGAGTCCAGAGGCCCGACAATTGTAAAGCATAATCGGGCCATTGATTTAAAAGGCTGGAATTGAAGGGTAATTTAAATTGCCCCTTAGCTTCTAGGGTATTCAAGAGGGCGGCTGCTGTTTCCAAACGTTTGGAGTCTTTCATAAAGGCAAATTTTTTGTAGTAGGGAGAAAGGGAAGAAGAATTTTTACACATATTATTGAGATAAGAAGAAAGTAAGCAATCGTTGAGCGATAAACGTATCCAAGCACGACATTGTCCTATTTCAGAAGTGATTTGCGATAAAGTGGTTATCTGGAAGACAACAGAAAGGATTCAAACTAAATTTACTTCATTTTCCTTAAATCTCTAGAAAATTTTCAAATATCTAAATATTTTTGAGAAATTTATATTTTTCATTTCTATTACCTGCTCTATAACCTCCTTGTGCATAAACACCATTATGGGAGACCAAAAACTGGGATCCGGCCTTCTTTCCACATCTCCGGCAATAATATTCAAAGTTTGCCATAGAAATGAATCCTTTAAACCATGCAAAAATATAGCCTCTAAGGTAGTGGACAATGAACTGGTACTTTCACACAGCTCCAGATATTCTACAAAATATATACACATTAATTAACCATAACAAAAACAACGTCATTTCTTCAAGGGGTGTAACCCCTTTCAACTAACCTTTAGCATTTTCTTGCACTTCATAATCAATTTCTTTAACATTTTCCTTTAAAGCCTCTAAAATGGCCTCCTTAATGGCATTTTCACGTTTAGTGGAAAACCCACTATTTAAACTGCGAAACAAAACACTCATTTAAACAAAATTCCCACGACAATTTTCCTTTTAAAAATGAAATACTAACAAAAAAGTAATTTGTATACTAAATGCAATAAAAATATGCAAAAACAAAAACAAAATGTAAATATTTACTTCACCTAAAGCAAATTGTTTTTGTTTTTTCTTACACAGCTGTTTTATGACATTTGTTTTGTTTGTGTAGTATTGCCAACTTATTTTATTGTTATTGCTATTTTCTTAGGCTGGCAACTTAATAAAACGACATTCCTTAATTGAAGACGAACGACAGACAGCAGAGAAGAGAAAAGTTTTGTAATTTTCCTTAAAAAATGTAGTAAAAATTGTTTAATTTACCAACAAGTGTTAATAATTTTATGAAATCCACTTTAAATAATAAAAATTTATAGAATTTAAATGCATAAAACCTAAAGAACGTGTAAAAATAATTGAAATTAATGAACAGAATTACATAGAAACAAAACATGCGTGGGTTGCAACATCAGTTTAATTCAAGGCAATTTTTCTAAAATATTTTATGTTTTTTCCTAAGTTATTGTGTGTTTTTTTAAGTGTTTTATTTATATTTAAGTTTGTTTAAAAGGTAAATGTTAAAAATTATTAAGTTTTGTTTATTATATGTTTGATTGTGCATGTTTTTTTATGTAAATTTTTTGTTTATTTTGTTTGTTTGTATGAGTGTGTGTTAAAGTGATTGATTTGGATGATTCATTAAACAAAAATAAATTTGTGTCTTATTTATTTGTTTTTGTTGTTAATGGAGTTGTAGTTATATTAAATTGTTTTTGTATTTACAATATCAATGGTAATTGATACTTAATTATGTGTTTTTTTATTGTTTATTTCTCTTTCTCTCTGTCTTTTTTTTTTGCCATTTTTCTCTTTTTATATTTTTTTCACATTCTCTTCCTATACTATTGTTTTGATGACTTTTTAATTATAGTTAAAAGAAAATAAATAAATTTTGTTCAGCCTGCAAAGAGGACATTGTCGCCATGTCCTCCCCGAATAAAACAACAAAATCTCCTTCAAACCACAACACCAACTCACAAAGTTTACCCCGTTTAACTACCACTTGTGCGGGTTGTCTTAATGAGTTACTCTCCTCCCGAGAAGAGGATTGTGTGGTTGCCTTAGGCCAGGAATGGCATGCTGATTGTTTCCGCTGTTCAGTGTGTGATCATCATTTACACAATTGGTATTTTGAAAAGGATGGTTTACTATTTTGTCGGGATCATTACTATCAGCGTTTTGGTGAGGCTTGCCAACAGTGTAGTGATGTTATTTCCGGACCCGTAATGGTGGCGGGAGATCATAAATTTCATCCGGAATGTTTTTGTTGTTCGCAGTGTTCTTCGTTTATTGGTTATGGTGAAGCCTTTGCTTTATTAGAGCGCTCTAAGCTGTATTGCGATGTCTGCTATAGAAAACTTCTTTATACTGAAAATAATTCTATAGATGGCCTCGTTAAGCCTTTACATTCCATACGTTTGGTGGAAATACCCAAAGATATAACCACCAGTTTACGTTTATCGGTAGATAATATTGATGGCTCAACGTCTTGCAATGCCACAACTGCTGCTGCTGCTGCTGCTGGTCATCATTTAAGTGGCGACAATTGGAATTCTTCTATTTATACAAATGCTTCATCAGCTTCGTCCATCTCACATTTAGATTATATGAGTGGCAAAGGTCTTTTGGCCGGCGGTAGCTCTAGTGATTTGTGTCCTGCTATACGTATATCTGAGTAAGTGTTAGTTTTAGACGCTTAGCCTCCCGTTCCCCGCCAAACTAACATTCCCTTAGATATGCTTTCTAATTGTATGTTACATTAGCAAGGATACTAAAATCCAATACAGCACGTACTAAAATTTTCATTTTATTTTAAAAAATTACGATTCATTTTAATTAAATTCCATTAGCAACTAATAGCTATAGACTGGACTATAGAATAGCCTATAGCCTGTACTATAGTCTGGACTATAGAATAGTCTATAGCCTGTACTATAGTCTGGACTATTGAATAGACTATAATCTGGATTAAAGAATATACTATAGTCTGGATTATAGAATAGACAATAGTCTCAACTATAGAATAGACTATAATCTGAACTATAGAATAGACTATAATCTGAACTATAGAATAGACTATAGTCTGGACTGTAGAGTAGACTATATTCTGGACTATTGAATAGACTATAGTCTGGACTATAGAATAGACTATAGTCTGGGCTATAGAATAAACTATAGTCTGGACTATAGAATAGACTATAGTCTGGACTATAGAATAGACTATAGAATAGACTATAGCCTGGACTATAGAATAGACTATAGCCTGGACTATAGAATAGACTATAGTCTGGACTATAGAATAGACTATAGTCTGGACTATAGAATAGACTATAGCCTGGACTATAGAATAGACTATAGCCTGGACTATAGAATAGACTATAGTCTGGACTATAGAATAGACTATAGTCTGGACTATAGAATAGACTATAGTCTGGACTATAGAATAGACTATAGTCTGGACTATAGTCTGGACTATAGAATAGACTATAGTCTGGACTATAGAATAGACTATAGTCTGGACTATAGAATAGACTATAGTTTGGACTATAGAATAGACTATAGTCTGGACTACAGAATAGACTATAGTCTGGACTACAGAATAGACTATAGTCTGGACTATAGAATAGACTATAGTCTGGACTATAGAATAGACTATAGTCTGGACTATAGAATAGATTATAGTTTGGACTATAGAATAGACTATAGTCTGGACTATAGAATAGACGATAGTCTGGACTATAGAATAGACTATAGTCTGGACTATAGAATAGACTATAGTCTGGACTATAGAATAAACTATAGTCTGGACTATAGAATAAACTATAGTCTGGACTATAGAATAAACTATAGTCTGGACTATAGAATAAACTATAGTCTGGACTATAGAATAAATTATAGTCTGAACTGTAGAATAAACTATAGTCTGGACTATAGAATAGACTGTAGTCTGGACTATATAATAGACTGTAGTCTGGACTATAGACTAGACTATAGTCTGGACTATAGACTAGACTATAGTCTGGACTATAGACTAGACTATAGTCTGGACTATAGAATAGACTATAGTCTGGACTATAGAATAGACTATAGTCTGGACTATAGACTAGATTATAGTCTGGACTATAGACTAGACTATAGACTAGATTATAGTCTGGACTATAGACTAGATTATAGTCTCAACTATAGACTAGACTATAGTCTGGAACGTAGACTAGACTATAGTCTGGAACGTAGATTAGACTATAGTCTGAACCATATACTAGACTATAGTCTTAACTATATAATAAATAAGGCCCGGAAATTTATGATTTCCTTTCTGGTCTTATTGTTAATTATTATTGTTAGTATAACAATTCTACTGTATGAGTCTTTTATCTTAAAAAGTACAATTACCGACTTCCAACAAAACTCAAATACCTTGCTAAATATGTATGTATTGTGTTTGTTAATAGGCATTGTTATTATTATTTCTTTTTTTACTGCAAGTTTGCTGCCAATCAATTTTAAAGGAATTTACTTTTCTTCCACTAAATGATAAGATAATTATTTTACAAAAAATTTGTGCTATTGAAACAAAAAATTCCTGAAGAAGAAACTCAATGTAGTAAAACTACAGAGTTGAGTGAATCAACTTTATAAAGAAAGTGAATTAAAAGCAATTTTGTTAATTAATTAAAAAAGGAAACTATTGTGAATATGTTTTAAAATTTTCAGATATAATATCTGGAAATAAAGATTTTGACAGTAATCGAAAACTGCAAAGGTATTACTAAAGTATCTAAAGGATTAAATGATTAAATTTAACTTTTGTCGAAGTTAAGTTTAGTTACATTCCGATATATGTATGTCGAAATTCGAAATTGGTACTAAAACGGAGATTTAGAACTAAGAATTAAGTTTTGTATTAAAAATTGAACTTGGTAGTAAAACCAGTTTTACGCTAGATATCTAATTTTGTACTAAAATCTTAGTTTTTTACTAAAAATTTAGTTTTTTACTAAAAAAAGTTCTTTTGCACAAAAATTAGCCTTGTCTGTAAAACTAAAAACTAAGTTTTTTGTTAAAAATCTGATTCAAAAACTGAGCTTGGTAAAAACTTAGTTATGTACTAAAAATGACTTTTATTAAAAAGTTCGTTTTATACTTAAAGCTGTCTTAAGTACTAAAAAGAAAGCATTGTTTTAAAAACTTGGTTTCGTTCTAAAAATTTATTTGCGATCTTAAGAAAAAGTTTTGTTCTAAAAACTGAGTTTTGTACTTAAAACTGTATTTGAATTTACAGCTGTGTTTCATACTAAAACCTAAGTTGTGTACTAAAAGGTGTATGTTATGTACTGAAAACTTTGTTTTGTACTAAAAAGTTAGTTTTGTACTAAATACTGAGTTTTGTACTAGAAACTGAGTTTTGTACTAAAAACTGAGTTTTGCGCTAAAAACCAAGTTTTGCACTAAAAACCAAGTTTTGCACAAAAAACCGAGTTTTGTACTAAAAACTGAGTTTTGTCCTAAAACAGAGTTTTGTACTAAGAACTAAGCATTGTTGTAAAAATTGTACTAAAAACTGATTTTTTTTTCTTAATACAATGTTTTGTTCTAAAAATTTAATTTTGTATTAAAACAGATTTTTGTACTAAAAACAAAACATTGTTGTAAAAATTGTACTAAAAGCGGTTTTTTTGCTCTTAAGATATAGTTTTGTTCTAAAAGGTGTGCTATATAGTAATAACGGAGTTTTGTACTAAAAAGAGAGTTTTACTATAAACAGAATTTTGTACTAAAAACTGATTTTTTTATTGAAAACATAATTTTTGTACTAAAATTGGTATAAAATTGGATTGGTACTAAAAACTGTTGTGTTCTAAATGCTAGATTTTGTACTAAAACTGTGCTCTGTTAACTGGAGTTTTGAACTAAACATAACTTTTTTTCTAAAACTGTGTTATGTACTAAAAGGAAGTTTGTACTAAAAGAAAGGCTTTGTTTAAAAAAGAAGTTTGTTTAATTAGTTAGTTAGTTAGTTAGCTAGTTAATTAGTTAGTTAGTTAGTTAGTTAGTTAGCTAGTTAGTTAGTTAGTTAGTTAGTTAGTTAGTTAGTTAGTTAGTTAGTTAGTTAGTTAGTTAGTTAGTTAGTTAGTTAGTTAGTTAGTTAGTTAGTTAGTTAGTTAGTTAGTTAGTTAGTTAGTTAGTTAGTTAGTTAGTTAGTTAGTTAGTTAGTTAGTTAGTTAGTTAGTTAGTTAGTTAGTTAGTTAGTTAGTTAGTTAGTTAGTTAGTTAGTTAGTTAGTTAGTTAGTTAGTTAGTTAGTTAGTTAGTTAGTTAGTTAGTTAGTTAGTTAGTTAGTTAGTTAGTTAGTTAGTTAGTTAGTTAGTTAGTTAGTAGTTAGTTAGTTAGTTAGTTAGTTAGTTAGTTAGTTAGTTAGTTAGTTAGTTAGTTAGTTAGTTAGTTAGTTAGTTAGTTAGTTAGTTAGTTAGTTAGTTAGTTAGTTAGTTAGTTAGTTAGTTAGTAAGTTTGTTCAAATACAGTTCTCTTTAGAATATTGTCTTCTCTAGAGCGTTTCTTCTTTAAAAAATGTTCGTTTAACAATGTTCTTTAAAGAAATATTTTCTTGAAACAGTTTTAGTTAGAGAAGTTCCTTTTTAAGACATCCTGTGGTGAGTTTCTTAAGACTATTCATTATCTAAAGGCAATTCTAGTTATTTGTGATTTCTATTCCTAACTTTTTCGCTTCATTGAAGTATCTTGATTAATTCTTCTAAAAATAAACATTCCTTTATTCCGTTTTCTATTACTCTATTACCTACCTTACCTTTTGGTGTGGTCATCATATTGTTTACATTACTTACCGCTTATCAGTAACTCAAAAGACCTTTGACGAAATCAAAATCTATGATTATTTATTGTATATTTATAATATGTATAATATAATGATCAACGTACAATAACAATAAGTAGATTTCTAAGTGGAAAACAATAACAATTAAAAATAAAAATATTTATAATTTAATTGTAGTTTGTATTACTAATAACATTTATATTTAAACATTTTCATCATCACCCTTAACTTACTAACGCAACAAAACTCACTCATTCTTTTTTCTTCTTTTTTTATAACAAAAAAACAAACGCAAACGTTACTTTATGGGTGAATTTGTTATTAAAAATAAAACTCTACTACTACTACTACTTACTTCACTTGCGCCTTAAAACATTCATCCAAACAACCATCCATCTAACCATCCAAAATCAAAAATAAAAAAAAAAAACTAAAGATTCATGTGTAGAGTGTATGGACGTATTGGCAAATACGTTTTCTCCCTAATAACCTCGATAATCGATCAGTGTTGTGGGTCTTATAGGTAATAAATAAATTACTAACTTATATCAAATAAAAAAAAATAGTTCTTCTTTTGAATTTATTTAAGATTTTTATTTATTTTTTGTCTTTGTTTTGTTTCCTTAATAAATAGAATTGATGTTAATCTTACTAATCTTCATGTGGGCGATCGTATATTGGAAGTGAATGGCACTCCGATTAGTGATAATTCCATAGAACAAATTGATAAAATGATAAGAAGTACGGAAATCTTGCAGTTAACGGTGGAGCATGATCCCATACAAGTGTGTCGCAGTTGCAGTCATGTGGATATTAAAAAGGTAACCAGTGAGGTGTCACTACCTTTGGCTACCTCCGCCTCTAGTGTAGAAGTTTTTGGTCGTAACTATGACAGTGGTGGCAGTTGTACTACCAACACTACCACAGCCACTACCACAGCCACTACCCCTACAACTAGTCCTTTACAAAACAAAGATGGTTCACCCACACGTCTTACCAAACAGGATAAGGACCGTATTTATAAACGTAAAGATGAGGGCTATATAAGTGGCACTAAGACACGTCAATTGCGCAATAAGGCAGCCTGTATTAATAACAATAACCAGCAGCAGGATAAGAACAATTCCACCTCCATGTCTTTTAGAGGTAAAGAAAGATGTTCTAGTATGTCGAAGTTAATGGGAGATCAGCATACAGCTCATACCGATCGCATGTATGATTTAACACGCACCACTTCGTTTCGTGTAGAGCAGAAACCTCAAAGAGTATTTCGTCCTTCGGACTTGGTGATAGGCGAGTTATTGGGTAAAGGTTTCTTTGGCCAGGTATTTAAAGTTACGCATCGCATTACCAAGGAGGTAATGGTTTTAAAGGAATTACATCGCGTAGAAGAAACAGCTCAATTGAATTTCCTTAAAGAAGTGGCCGTTCTCAAGTCTTTGAATCATAAAAATGTTTTAAAGTTCATAGGGGTCCTTTACAAAGAGAAACGTTTACATTTGGTTACTGAATATGTGGCAGGTGGTTCTCTAAAAGAACTATTACATGATTCCGGCTTACCTTTGACCTGGCCAGAACGTATTTCCTTTGCCAAGGATATAGCCTGTGGCATGTCTTATTTACATTCCAAAAATATCATACATCGTGATTTGAATTCTCTTAATTGTTTGGTTAAAGAAGATAAAACCATTATAGTGGCAGACTTTGGTTTGGCTAGGATCATAAACACTTCTCTCAGCAGTAGATATAGCGAGAAATGGCAGTCCTCCGAAAGATCTAGTTCCCAGGAAGGTGGTGGTAAATCGAGTCAACAAAAAACAGACGACTCCGCCAACAATAACACTCCCAACAATAATGGTTCGATGGGTCGCAGTAAAAGTAGATTGCGACGACAACGTTACACCGTAGTGGGTAATCCCTATTGGATGGCTCCCGAAATGATGAAGGGTTTTATTTATGATGAAAAGGTGGATATTTTCTCGTTTGGCATAATGTTGTGTGAGGTAAGTTAAAACCTTGAAATATATTTTCGAATGTTTTAATTGCTTTGTATTTTCATAGATTATAGGTCGTGTCCAGGCCGATCCAGATTTTTTACCTCGTACCCATGATTTTGGCTTAAATCAAAAGGTATTTCGCGAAAAGTTTTGCTATCAATGTCCAGAAGCTTTTTATAAAATTGCTTTCCTATGCTGTGATCTAAATCCGGATAGAAGGTGAGTTCGAAGATTAATGTATATTAGTTAATATAATTCGAATTTAATTTCGAATTTTCGAAATTGTTTCCAAAATGTTCTAAAAGTGAAATTATTGATAAAATTTATACTCAAATCCAATTCTTTAAGAGTAAATCGCCTTTTTAACCGTTTTAAGTTATGTTCGCAAATTCGAATTTAATTTCGAAATTTCAAAATTTGTACCAATATGTTCTTAAAGTGAAATAATTCATACAATTTATACTTAAATTCAATTCTTTAAGAGTAAATCACATTTTTAGGCGGTTTAAGTCATATTCGAAAATTCGAATTTAATTTCGAAATTTCAAAATTTTGTACCAAAATGTTCTAAAAGTGAAATAATTTATACTTAAATCCAATTCTTTAAGAGTAAATTACACTTTTAGACGGTTTTAGGCATGTTCGAAAATTCAAACTTAATTTCGAAATTTAAAGATTTGCACAAAATATTTTGAAAGTCAAATTATATTGAAATTTTATTACTAAATCGAAGTTTTTAGTAATAAATTGCCTTTTTAACCGATTTAAGTCATGTTCGAAAATTCCAACTTAATTTCGAAATTTCTAAATTTGTGCCAAAATGTTCTAAAAGTGAAATTATTGAAAAATTTATACTGAAATCCAATTCTTTAAGAGTAAATCACATTTTTAGGCGTTTTTAGGCATGTTCGAAAATTCGAACTTAATTTCGAAATTTCAAAATTTTTCCCAAAATGTCTTAAAAGACAAATTATTTTACACTTTTCTTACTAAATTGAAGTTTTTAATAATAAATCACCTTTTTAACCGATTTCAAGCATGTTCGAAAATTCGAACTTAATTTCGAAATTACAAAATTTGTCTCAAAATGTTATAAAACTGAAAATATTGAATAATTTTATACTTAAATCAAAGTTTTTAACAGTAAACAACAACAACAAATTCGAACTTTATTTCGAAATTTCAAAATTCTATAATTTTTTTTTATTGAACATTTTCAGACCCCCTTTCGAAACGCTCGAAATTTGGCTAGAAAGTTTACACACTCAGGTGTCTACCAATCAACCAGTACCTCAGCAATTGCTCTACGATATAGAAAACTATATAGGAGGCAGCATTAGCTCAACGCCAGTAGATGTTCTAACACCTAAATCCAATCTTAGTCGTGATAACTTAGATGAAGTGGGCAAATCGAATCACTCACTAAGAGAGCTAGCCGACATCACCAACTTGGATGATAAGGAAGTTTTAAATGCTGCCGCCCCAACAGAAGAAGCAGAAGAAAAAGTGGAGTCCTATAAACTGCCAGATGGCATACCAAAATCACCACATTTAGGCAAAGATTTTTCACCCTCGGGTGAACGTATACATAATAGCCGGCGTGCCCAGCGTAGGCAAAGATTTTTACAAGCACAAAATGCCAGTCAGCAACAAAATGAAGATGAACGTACGGATCAGGTATTGCAAGCTGTAAAGGATAGTCTGCAACAGGAAAGTGTACGCAACAGTCGCCGAAAATTGGACAGAGGCTTTGTGTTGGACATCAGTCGCAGTGGAGTGTTAAGCATCAATAATGTTA